TAACACCAACCAGCCACCACGGGGATTAGAGCCTGGGTTACCTTATTGGAAAGCGAGTGCTCCATCACCTGAGCCCTTATAAACTATCAAGGTTCTTTAGACTTTGGATCTGGACAGCGATGAAGAAGATTAAAGCTTTGTGCTCCAAAATCACTGAAGAAGTCAGTGCTTATGCTCAAAAATCATACAAGAGCTTATTATTCAGACAAACGAAATCCATTAACTTTAGCTACATTGAGCTATTTAAACTTAAAAAAATTTCTCAAGTTTTATGAGCTGGTTGGTCAAGTCATATACCTAAGCATTTATATGTATGTTACTCATTTGTACTGTAAGAGCTGGCATTTTTTGATATAGTAGATAGTTCAAAAATGGTGCTTTTCCATTTTAAATTTATGAAAAAGTAATGTTAAGAGTACTTAAATCTTAGATTTTTTCTTGGTTTATTTTCCGGCAGTAAAAAGTAATTTTCAGGTTTTTGAAATAAAAATTCTAGGTGCAAGTTTTAAGGACCCCCCTCGTTTAATATGTGTGATTAAAAAATCTCATTTAAAAATTAATAATGTTATTTCAAACTTGTGTTTTAATTTCAAATTTTACCAAGTTAAGTAACCTGTTACCGCTTTTTAAACTAGGGTCAAATTATAACTACAGATTTCTAGCTTGATGCCTGGATTTATATTTCTGAAAACTACATTATGTGCCCGGGGATTGCCATTGTCTACATCGGTGGATGCTATGCTAAGATGGTCTTACATCTCTAGATGGAAAGTTATGGTAAGCTTTTTATTGGATTTCTTAATAAACCGATTTTTTTTCGTACCAAACGTTAATCTTCCAAGCTTTTTGTAGTTTATGCATAAACTACAAAAGCTTGGAACATAAGCAAAAATTAATAATGTTATTTCAAAGTTGTGTTTTAATTTCAAATTTTACCAAGTTAAGTAACCTGTTACTGCTTTTTAAACTAGGGTCAAATTATAATTACAGATTTCTAGCTTGATGCCTGGATTT